ATTTGCATTAAATATTAACAAAAAGTGGAAACTTGACAACTTGTATAACCGGTAACCAATTTTTTAAAAAATTTGGGCGCATCAGTGCACCTGGTGCACTATAGACATTGCCTAAAAGGAAGAAGCCAAAGAGTTAAAAAGGTAGAAAAGGGAAGAAAATGACGGTTGCTATCCCTGTTTACGAATAGAGTTTTTCTATTTAAACTAGACTTGGCAATATTGTATACAACTCGTTAACACGACACAAATTCGCACAAAAATTTCAGTATTCGGATCCGAGTTATCGTGTCGTGTTGATATCATGTTGACCCGTTAGCCATACGTTAAGCTAACATGTCGTGTCGTGTAAATTCGCGAATACCCGTTAACTCGTTAAGCTCAGGGGCATTTTTGTAAATCTATACTCTCTTTTTTTCTCCTTCTCTTTCTTCTCTTTCCTCTCTTCCTCCCCCATTCCCTCAACTCTCCCACTGTCTTTCTCTCTGTAAGTTTCTTCTCTTTTCATTATTTTTCTCAGAAACCAAACATAGCTTTCTTTTTCTATTCTTCTCTCTCTCTCTCTCCCTCCCTCTCTCACTGTGCCACCCTCTCTCTCCTCCTCCTTCAGCAAACCCTCTCTCTCACTGGTTGTGTCATTAATGGAGGTTTATGGATTGGGGAAGGAGAAGAGAAAGAGGAAGAGAGGGGTTGCGCAATGGTTCTGTATGTGGAATTTTTTATTTTTTTTAAATTTTTTTTTTTCAGTTTTCATTTTTTTATAATTTTTTAAATTCTTAACGAATGAAACGGGTCGTGTCATGTGATTCGCGAATTGTAACGGGTCGTATTCGTGTTTGACATTTTCCACCTGTTTTCTTATTGTGTCGTGTCGTGTCAACCCATTAAGAAAAGCAAGTTGACACGAACACGACACGAACACTGCAAGCACGACATGAATGCCAGGTCTAATTTAAACCCCACACTTTTCTTTGTTTACCCCAATACTTAAATCATTAATCTTTTAAGTTTTATTATTGTGTAAAAAGACAAAAAAAGTTATCCAACTTAATACTTAACCCTAGAACATCTATACACACACCCCACCACTCTTCATATTAAGTTTCAGAAAAACACAAACTTCTCTACACCCGAGTCAGATTACTATCTCTTTCAATCCAAGAAACCAACTACACTCTAATCTTCTCTTTACAAACGGTATGCAAATAGTGGCTTGTGGGCCGTCAATTGAGGAATGTAATGTGAGACGTTCCCCCACAAACCTAACTGCACAAGTTAAACTATTCTAGCATCAAGATCAACCCCATGAAAATCCACGATGAAGAAATGAACAAAACATTGTCTATGGCCTTACAGTTGTATCTGATAGAGGAGCTTAAGATAACTATTAGAATTACCAATTCAGGTAAGTCTCTCTATCGAGCAATGTCAAATTAACAATACATCATAAAGAATTAACAGTTGATAATGGCAAAACATTCAACACGCTTGGGAAGCATTTTCCGTTGAGGAAGAAAACCATCTTTGTCAACCAACACTACTACAAAAAGTGAAAAAGACGATCAGAAAAAGACGACGGTAGAAGAAAAAACCGTCGTTGTGTTTAAAAAGACGACGGTAACAAAAAAACGGTCGTGGATAAGTGACTTAAACAACTAAAAAACGGAGGTACTATTGAATATTTTTTTATAACGACGCACACAAATAAAAAAGCGTCGTCTTATTAAAAAGGTTTTCTTCAGAGTTAAAATCTAACCAAAAAACAATGACAGCAGATATGACAAGCGTCGTCTTTTAAAAATCAAGTGTCCTTTTTTTGGTAAAGACATGGTTGTTTTGAAAAAACTGTCGTCTATTATATGTAAAGATGACCGTTTTTTTATAAAAAGGGTCGTCTATTATGTAGTAAAGATGACGGTTTTTTAAAAAAAGGGTTGTCTATTATATGTAAAGATGACGGTTTTGTTTTATAAAGGGTCGTCTCTTATGAAGTAAAGATGACGGTTTTTTTTTTAAAAAAGGTCGTCTATTATATGTAAAGATGACGGTTTTGTTTTATAAAGGGTCGTCTATTATGAAGTAAAGATGACGGTTTTTTTTTTAAAAAAGGTCGTCTATTATATGTAAAGATGACCGTTTTTTTTTTAAAAAGGGTCATCTATTATGAAGTAAAGATGACGGTTTTTTTTTTAAAAGGGTCGTCTATTATATGTAAAGATGACGCTTTTTTGTAAAAAAGGGTCATCTATTGTGAAGTAAAGATGACGGTTTTTTTTTAAAAAGGGTCGTCTATTATATGTAAAGATGACTCTTTTTATCAAAAAACCGTCGTCTTTACATATAAAGACAACGGTTTTTTTTTAAAAAGGGTCGTCTATTATATGTAAAGATGACGGTTTTTTTTTTAAAGCGTCGTCTTTTAAAACACGCTAAAAAATGGCCACTTAAGTGAATTCGCGCTCGATAAATTTTCAAATTTTCACCCGTCTTTGAAAACCTTATCTCTCATTAACAAGCATCGTCTTTTAAACACACTAAAAAAAGGCTACTTAAGTGAATTCGCGCTCGACAAATTTTCAAATTTTCACCCGTCTTTGAAAACCTTATCTCTCATTAACAAGCATCGTCTTTTAAACACACTAAAAAAAGGCTACTTAAGTGAATTCGCGCTCGACAAATTTTCAAATTTTCACCCGTCTTTGAAAACCTTATCTCTCATTAACAAGCATCGTCTTTTAAACACACGTTGAAAGGTTTGATTTGAAAGTCACCTAATCTCTCAATACCCTTCTATATCTTGCTAGTGAATTCTGGATTAGTCTCTTTGCGTTTCTAGTATGTTCTTTGTCTCCTTGATTTCAGATTTTCTGTCTCTCTTGATTTGTCTGGTTTGTTTACATATTTTTTTTATATTTCTAGTTTCTTTTTAGATTTTCTGATTTGATTATCAGGAGATGACGAGGAAGCTTGAAGATTTATAACTTTTTCTTTTGCAGGTTTTCTATGTGAGTCGTACGTTTTTTTGTTGTTGAAAATTTGTTACCTTCTTGTGACCACATTCCCTCTTTTTAGAAATCCCGCTTTGCGCTCATAATTCACGTTTTATCTTTTTAAGAAAAAATTAAAATTAAAACGTGTGGCCTTTGGATTTCATTGTGGGTCGGGTTTTCACCATTGTTTTGGTTTCAAAGTGAGCTAACTTTCTTTTGGGTTGGGCTTTCAATTATTTGGGTTTTGGTTTGCGTAAGACTGTCTGTTTAGGGCTTACTGTTTTGTCTGTTTAGGGCTTTCTGTTTCGAGTGTTTTACTGTTTTTTTTTTTATGTTTGTTGTAGAATAAAGATTGGTTAACTAT